ATTTTTTATTTGAATATTTGAATTTTTTTTTAATTCTGTTAAAAAATATTTATATTTAATAATTATCTTAATTTTTTTATTATTTAAAATTGAGTCTTATTTTTATTTTATTTTTAATTTTTATAATTGTTATTTTATTATTTTTATTAAAAAATAATGTTTATTTAATTCAATTGAATGTATTTTAAAAGATATTTCATATAATATTTTATTTATAATTTATTGTATTTTTTAATTATTATTAATATTTTTATTTTATTTGACTGTTTCGGAAATCGCTTTGACTCTCAGTACTACATGTAGTAATTGTAGCTTTACGTTTTACATCATGTTTTGCAAAAAAGGAACCAATAAAACGTATAACATATTACACTGGCTGTGTTCTTAAAACCTGTAAGCTAATTTTCTTACTTCAGTTCTATGTCCGCATTCTAATCGAAATGAATTCTCATAAGCAGACCTAGATGGACATTTTCCCACATTTTCTACACTGATTTCTTTTTTTTTTAGCTTAATTGGAATTGTTTGCATTCATGTACTTGCATCAAGTATGTTGCTGTCTGACATGAATGACATTTTTGCTTATTGCAAACCTTTGAGCCCTGCTGCAGATCATCCTGTGCTCTTTCTCGTCAGGATTTGATGTGATTCATTGGAATGCATAGCAGAAGTTTCTTTGTCCCTCCTCATGGCTTGGTGTCTTGCTCTTTCTTCTCTGTCAGGTAAGCTGAAGGAGTGGACACTAATCCTTCACGGCACGGCTGAGCACCCCTACCAATCCCAGAGTTCCCAGCACTCGCGCTCCAGAATGCTGGAGATTCCCACAGCAGGCAAGGAGCTGAAAAACCCAGATTCTGTGCCAGGAACCCCTGAGCATGAAGAGGAGGAAGAGGAGGAATATAATGGTACTCGCAGTAATACCTAGACAAGTTCAAAAGTTTGGGGTCGGTGAGAATTTTTTACATTTTTTAATCTTATGTTCACCAAGGCTGCATTTATTTGATCAAAAATACAGTAAAAACAGTGAAATATTATTATGATTTAAAATAGCCGTTCTCTATTGTAATATATTGTAAAATGTAATTTATTCCTGTGATCAAAGCTGAATTTTCTGCATCATTACTCCAGTCTTCAGTGTCACATGATCCTTCAGAAATCATTCTGATATGCTGATTTGCTGCTCAAGAAACATTTCTGATTATTATTATATAATGTTGAAAACAGTTGTGCTGCTTGCTATTTTTGTGTAAAAATAATTTTTTCATGATTTATTGATAAATAGAAAGTTTAAAAACAGGATGTATTTGAAATAGAAATCATTATAAATGTCTTTACTGTCACTTTTGATCAATTTAATGCATCCTTGCTAAATGAAAGTGTTTATTTGATTAAAAATCGTACTAACCCCAAACTTCTGAACGGTAGTGTATATATAAAAATGTATTTTAAACTCTTTACAAATGAGAAGAAGCACGCACAAGGATCAGGTGATGTATCCTGGACATTTAGTTTATTAATGGTCTAAAAAGAAAATTAATGTTCAAAATAAAAGCCAAACAAATATGAGCTGCATAAAAATGTCTTAATATTGAAGCAAAATATTTCAAACAAATTCTCGAACTCTTGATAGGATTTTGATGTGACTCACTTTTAATAAATAGTATGATAAAATTAATACTGTATGTATTTTATATATAAATATGATGGTAACTATTGCTTGTTGATAGTGTAAAATAAACGATGACTTCAACCTGGAAACCATGTAAACAACTGAAACATAAATGTACATTAGACATATATTACTCTTGCAGTATCGACACACTATTATCCTGTTTAATACTGTAAAGCTACTTTGACACAATCTGTATTGTATAAAGCGCTATATAAATAAAGGTTGCTTGACTTGACTACTTACTGTAAAAATGTAGACAACCTTTTATTCCTAGTCCAAAAGTGATCCTCTATATCAACCTTATGAGATTTATTATTCTGATAAACCTGGCATACCTGAATTTTGTTGACTCTTTGATGACTTGGTTATGTTCCTCATTTGCAAGTCGCTTTGAATCAGAGTGTCTGTTAAATGAATAAATATAGATGTTATATTATCTACTGCATCTGTGGTTTGTGACTGTACTTCAGGTCCGTGTCATCCTGAATGTGGAGATCAGGGCTGCGACGGACCAGACGCCGATCACTGCCTCAACTGCATTCACTTCAGTCTGGGCAGCCTCAAGACCGGCAGGTACCAGAATGATATGTGACCCTGGAGCACAAAACCAGTCTTAAGTCAATAGCCAAAAATACATTGTATGGGTCAAAATGATTGATTTTTCTTTTATGCCAAAAATCATTAGGATAGGCGCCTATTTATACTATAGTCGCACCGGTAGTGACGTCATGGCTGTCGCCGGCCAACGAGTTGGTGTTTTCTCAATGTATGCTTCAGACACGGGTCACGACGAGGCGTTCCCCATAGCGACCCCTAGAGGACGCAGTGTCTCATTCCCTACTCAGGGAACCATGGTTACATAAGTAACCTGAGACGTTTTCTGATTTTTTTTGCACCCTCAGATTCCAGATTTTCAAATAGTTGTATCTCGGCTAAATATTGTCCTATCCTAACAAACCATACATCAATGGAAACGTATTTATTCAGCCTTCAGATTATGTACAAATCTCAATTTTGAAAAATTTACACTTATGACTGGTTTTGTGGTCCAGGGTCACATATTTCAACTCTGAGTTGGTTTAGTGTTAACAGATAGTGAATGGCGGTATGTCCAAAATCACAGTATGAGGTTTTGTTTTTTGCCCTGTAGGATTGTTATAGTTGACTAAAAATAAACCATAAAAAAAATATATAAAATAAAAACATTTTCATTATTTGAAATAAAAAAAAGAAATAAAATAAAATAAAATTACATTACATTACATTTGAAATGTGAACTTGCCCAGGAAACATTTCATATTTTCATTTAGTTTAACTTGATGTTATAATTAAAACTAAAACTGAAATAAAAATTAAATTAAAATATACATGTTTAAAATGACAAAAAAACTAATTCAAAATATTAATAAAAACTATAATAGTATGTTAATGATAATAACACTGCTGCCCTCTTGCCCATTAAAAGTATCTAAACTTACTTTAATAAATGTACTTAAACAAAATTGTGTAAGATATTATGAGATATTAATGAGGGAGTTTTTTTTTTCTTAGTTTTTTTCCCTGCAGGGTTATTATAGTATTATAGTGTACTGAAACTAAAACCATAAAATACATGTTCATTATTTCAAATAAAATACAAATTTAAATAAAAAATCTAAATAAAATATTAGAAATTTAGTTTAACTTTAACTTGAAAACTAAAACTGAAATAATAATAAACAACTATGTAGAAAAACATATAAAAAAAATATAAAATGACAAAATTAAGCAAAAAACTAGAATTCAAACGAAAATGTAAAAATAAAAACTTGTTAAAAATATTAAAAGTGTTAAAAAACTGAGTATCTCAATGATATTAAAATAACAATGTTGTCCTATTTCTCATTAAAAATATCTGAACTTTAATAAATGTATGTATTTATAGTAATATATGTATATTATATTATATATTTATAAAAACTTGATTATAAAACGGAGAGTTCTGGTCCTTGATTCTGATTGGCTGAGCCACGCTCGAAGCTGTTGTAAATTACTCTACAAACATACACCTTTGCTTACTTCTGTGTGTTGCTCGGCAACCACAACTGTTTCTGAGGAACTACATTGTTTGGTGGAAGAATACTGTTTTCACTGTAAACCACGGTTTCTTGGGGCTTATTGCTTTAATAAGTATACTTAAAATGGTGTAAAATATTATATATAATGTATCTTATATTGTATACAGTATATTGAGTATAGTAAAGTCTGTTTTGCTTTCCTCATTGTCGAACAGATTTATGCTTCAACTTCTCTTCACGTGTGTCTCTTGTCCTCTTCACAGGACGTGTGTTAGTCACTGTCCTCTGGGTTATTTCGAGGACGGAGAGGCCCGCAGATGTCGCCACTGTCACCGAGGCTGTGAGAAGTGTGTGGCTCGCAGGCCGAACGAGTGCCGCTCCTGCCGGAGAGGGCTTTACTTCGACTCGAAGGAGAGCACCTGTGTGGAGACCTGTCCCGTCGGCTACTTCCACGACGACGGTGAGTCCAACGAAGATGAGACGTCCACTGATGCATTATTGAGCTGAAGTTTCTATATCACCATATGCAGCTAGTCAGTACCGTCGCAAGGGCTGTGCCAAGTGTGTGACCACACAGGGCCTCGCGCCTGGCCTGCATTTTATGTCGTTTATGTCTAATTTTTATTACTGTTTTTCCACCCATTTTGTCCTTTAAAAGACTAAAATAGTCATAGCTGATAGACAGTATAAGACTCGGTGTATAAGAATGAGTAAAGTTGTTTGTTGTTAGGATGACAAAAAGTTTTAAAAGATAAACTTTTAGGCTGGTCTGCCTGAGTGGTCCAACAGCGCTCGTCAATGTCAAAATGATCGAGATGGCCAATCAAATCAAAGAAGGCGGGTCTTACTGTCACTGTCACAACGCAACGACAGTTCGTGGAAAGATGTAAGGAGTAGCCTACTGTATCTGTATTAGAAAACTGTTTTACGATACAAATGTTCAGCGACCGACAGTAATAGACTATCTAGTGATGCAAACTACTCAACTTTTTAATGAAATTTCGCCGTTTCGAACTGAAAATATGCGATCATGATTCATGTAATCATTTACGTTCATAAATGAACGTGACAAGAGACGTTTGTGTTTTCGACTATTAGACATACGAATAAGAGTGAATGTGCACATTTTAAAATAAAATATTATTTTCAAATAGTGTAAATTGATTACTACTTCATATGAAGAGTTCAGATGCAAAAGCCTCTAAGTGCCGTTTGAAATTTTCTTCTAAAATGAGCATTTGGCTCCTATGTGTAGGTTCAGTAGTTTCAATTTAATGGCTATGAACAGTTTCTTTTCTTTCCCGTTAAAGTAAAATAACTGAACATAAACATAGGAGCCTGAGAAAATAACCATTTTAGAAGAAAATTTTAGATGATGCTTAGAGGCTTTTGCATCTGAACTCTTCATAAATAACTACAAACCTAGTGTCACACTCTCTCTAGAAGGGAACGAGGAACGAGGAGGTGCTGCAGTTAACACGAATAAGTCTTTAATCATCCAAAGTAGAGACAGGAAACAAGGGAGACATCCAAAAAGTATAACCGACAAACGCAAACTGAAAGGACTGGGGCTTTTGAACACAGGATAATTGTGAAGACACAGGTGCAAGGAATGACTAATTAAAGGGAACACGGCACACATGGGGATGAAAACACAACAAAATGAGTCCAGGGGCGTGACATTACTCCCCCCCTCCCAAAAGGTGCGTCCTTGCACCGTAGAAACAACATGGGGAGGGGAATGGGTGGGAACTTGGGAGGAGGTTCCGGAGGAGGACGGATATCCGGGAGGAGGCCGGCAGACAGAGACCAGGGGGGCAACGAAGGAGGGAGGAGCCAGGGAGGAGACAGGAGGGACCCGGAGAAGGAGGAGCTCAGCAGGACCCAGTCCACAGCCATAACAGCGGCCCACGGTGGAGCCGACGGTGGGAGGAGCCATGGAGGAGGGATGGCCACCGACTCCAGGGGGCCGACCAACGGTGGCGGAGCAGGTGGAGGAGGAGCCCGAGACAGAGAGCCAATGAGCCAGGGGGATGCCGAGGATCCGGGGGGCCAGGGTGGAGCCGAGGGCTCTGGCGACCGAGGCGGAGATCCGTGGCGGAGCCGAAGCGACTGAAGACCTAGGTGGAGCTGGCGGGCCGGCTCTCGCACCTGGTCTGACGGGTTGGGCTCAACAGCCGAGGCGATCCTCCGCTCAGTCGCTTGGCTTCGCTCTGGCTCGCGGATTGCGGCGGGAAATGGCTCTCCGTCATCGGTGGGCTCAGGCTGATGCTCCGTACCACGGGGAGATGGTGGACTGGACTCTGGGACCGGAGTGGATCTGGCAAGATCATCCACGGGGCAGATGGTGAGTGGAGACCCGTTTCTCGCCAGAGTCCACTCCACGAAGGCGGCGAATTCCTCCCGAGGACCATCTTCGGACGACAGCTCTCTGCACTCGGCGTTCAGGCTTGCATCATAGAAAGATGATCATTGAGAGCAGAACGAATGTGTCACACGTAATAGTTCAGTTTTGTATGTAATGGAATGGAAAAGTGATTATATTTCATTTCATTTTTTAATAAAGTTAAATTAGAAAAACGTTTGGAGCAATTTTTGTTAGTTAAATGTAAGATTTTTTTTTTTTAAGTAACGACCAGCGGGAGACAGTGAATTGATCATAGCCTATATGTTTGATCAATTTAGCCTTCTCAAATCATCACGACTTGTATAAAACAGTTCAAGCATATCACAATGTTAATTTAAATGTTTAACCTATATAAATGTGGACTGTTAGACGCATATCCAATCGTTTGTGCGGAGAGTGGAAGCTGAAGCACGCTCTGCAGGACATGGAGGCGCCAGCACGATCACTTGCATTCTTTTCTAACAGTGGAAACAACTTAATACGCAGTCATTTTTGCTCATAAAGATAACAGTAATACATCATTCTAAACTGTAAAGGTGCTAGTTTTATTTGTGTGCACTCACAATATCAACAAAACGTTGTGCTTTTATCAAATAAAGAAAACAAACGCTGCTGTCTCGGGCTTGAACAGGAGCGCTTCACAATGATGAACCTAAACTCCGCGAATTGCCTCACAGCCATGATAA